TACTAGGTTTTAAATCTGACTGTTTATATACGTGTTATTTAATTAGTGCTTTTTGAGTTATTTACAATCAAGCTACAAATACGAGGTTTTGATCACAATATCTGTGCCTGTACTAGCTTTCGGACGGTACCAAAAAGTCAAAATGATCAAATATGGCATATCGAGGTTTCAAGCAGTCACCCACGATATGTTGTATAATTATGTGACTGGTAAACCGACTGTAAGCGTTGAAAGGATTAAGATTTTTTTTCTAGTGTTAATATTGCATTCTATGCATTTTACATCCTCTAGTTTGGCTTTCTGCTATATTTGCTTTAATCCTTTATTAGTTGGCTTTAAGTTATGTTAAATATTTAAAAGTTTAGAATGACAATCTGAAAATTTAGATGCTAAAATTATCAAAAACTGGAGACCAAAATCTAAAGATAGGCCTCCACTTTCCTCATCAAAAAGTTTAACTAAAAACCATCTGCCATTTATGTGTAGAACGCCAAAACTTTTCAAAAGGTTTATTTGCAGAATTCTTGAGCAACACTGGCATTTAGTCCTAGCCAGTCACTTCATCATGAAATAGACTTTATTGAAGGTCACCTTGACATTCACTTTTTGGTGCAGCTAGTAATGGAATGAAATTGAGTTTTACATCCTATTTTCTGCATCTGAACACAGACAATGCCTAGAAGTGTACCATACAGAAAAGTTTAAACGTTTTTCTATATCAAGGTCCAGTTTGTCATTATATATGATTTTGTGAACACACACAACAGTCCTTTTGCATATCTGACAAAGGTGAAACTGAACTGCGCAATTTCCAGGTGAATCTAAATCATAATTGAATTGGAGCTATCTTATTCTAATGGTGCACATTTGGATATAAAACCTCATCTGGAAGACTATGGATGCTATTGCAAATTAAAATTTTTCCTATCTATTTGGATGTTTTTCACCCTTTCAACCTCAGCAGCCTGTTTACGGGCCACATACTTACGCAATATATACCTGAAAAAGCGGCTATTACTAACTAGAGTCACAGAGTTTTACTCAGCGTTCGAGGAGTAAAGTCTGATCTATTGTGACCTTTATATTGCATATTATTAAATTGCAAATTTCAGATTGTGATATGGACAGAAATGATAGTGACATAGACGGAAGTATTTGTGATATGGACAGAAATGATAGTGACATAGACGGAAATATTTGTGATATGGACAGAAATGATTTTGACATAGACGGATGTTTGTGATATGGACAGAAATTATTGTGACATAGCCGGAAATGTTCGTGATATTGACAGAATTGTTTGTGACATAGACAGAAATGTTCGTGATATGGACACAAATGTTTGTGATATGACAAATAATGTTTGCAGAGTTCTATGCATTCTATTTCCACTGATATGATACTGATATATTGTAATCTATTTATCGTATAGCTTTTGATTTTTCTTGTTATTTTTGACTAATCAAATGACATTGATCTAAGCAGATATTATGTTGTGGAGCACCATTTCAAATTTTATAATAGTTTCCAAGTAGGCCTAGCTCTATTCAAAATGTATTGTTCATTTATTATGATCTAATATTGTATGTTTTTTGGATTTGGTTTTTCTTTTGTGATTTTGCCTGCAAATTGATCAAATTCTATAGAAAATCAAAATCTTAACCAACCTATTTGGAATTAGCTGCCATTCTCTCATGAAATTCGAAGATATAATTTCACGGTCAAAGAATAGTTTTGGCGGGAGAGTCAAGGTCACATTATGTAACACACTGTAAGGAATAACTGTTAATAACTTTATTATTTCTCTGGTTTTACGTCAAAGGCCTCAATGGGGACTGTGATCTTTCCAATCGTGTTAGTGCCTTAGGAAAGGAAAGGACTGCATATGTAATACCTATATCACTTTACCACTTTGGTCATTTGGGGAATACCGACTGAGGGTTAAAAAAGTGGTGAATAATGTACCATTTCCTTTTTCTCTTCATCTTACACTGAATTTTTTCTGTATTCCTGATTGATCATACTTACTTGAAGATAGGCTTATCTCTGTTTTCTTTAATTTGGTAAAAGGGTAGGGAGAAGGACACAACCCACTTTTTCAGGAGACAGTCATAAAAGGGGTTTCCCCAAAATCCATCTTCATAAGTCACAGTGATGGTCTTGTTACGGCGGAATACATAATTCTCAACCAGCCCAATATCCCTATTGGATTGATTAGTGAATAGCATAGATTTGTCGGTATGTAATTTAACGGTGGGTTTGTCGGCGTGAACGAGGAACCAGTTAACGAAGGTATAATTATAAGAATTCGACAGATCCGATACAACTAATGTTTCTGGTTTGTTCGCGCCTCGATAGGCGTAAGGCCAAAATTTTGAAGATTTCCTTAACGGATATTGGTTCTCGGCGAAAGCGATCCCACACCCGACCACTTTGGGATCATTTTCGACATACGATTGTGATAAGGCAAAATAAAATACGTCGTCGTAAAGAACCCGCCCTTTGTCTTTGTACAGAAATAATGTGTTCAGAGTGTTGGCTAAAAGTAGAGTTTTCTTCACCTGTTTTTCGAAAGGCTCATAAAAATAATCGTAGGAGGAAAAAGGGAAATTAAATTCATCCAAAGTGATAATTCGTTCCTTGGCGCGGCATGTCCGTTCGCCGGAATCTATGGCCTCCACAAAACGTAACAGTTCCGTTATGACGTTTTTTTCTTGCTCCAAACTGTGTGATTCGAGAGACTGGTACCCGAAATCCGTCCTGGCAGTCCCAGATCGGGTGGCACGGACTCGAGAAGAAGAATGTTGTTGATGAGATGTATCGGCATAATATCCGTTCTCGCGTTTAAAATATTCAAATCGTGGAAACCCGTCCGTGATGGGAATCGAGGTTACGAGATCGAGTACCGGAAACATCCACAGTATGAAAGGTACCAAGGTGCCGAATCGCATCCCCATTTCTTTGAGCAAATACGCAAGAAAATACACACGGTTTGCTCCTTCTCTCTTTCATTCCACACATCCAAATAGCATCAAATTCCACTGGCAATCTTTCCCACACAGACATAAAAACCTTTTCCAAACAGCTCAAACCCTTATTATAGATGCTTAATTTGCTCAAAGTAAACCCTAAAATCTTCTCGTAGATTTGACTTGCGAGCACCGATATTTCCTATTCACATTATTCCAATATAGTGGCGGCCATGATAGGTTTGATTCCATACGTCTCGTTCACCTATCACTTTCGCCGCCATTTTTCGCTTTGCAGACGATGGAATGAAGGTTATTTAGCAGTATTATGATGCTTTGGAAAACCATCCACGCGGATCGAGGCATAATTTCACTCACATGTTCACAAAAATGCACCAGACGAAGTTAAAAATGGAATCCATAAGATATAATTCACGTTGATCCGCCATAAAGACCATTTACAACATATCGCCTCGACCGCCGATATACAAGACAGCAGCATTTTACAGAGAATCGATTTTTCACGAAGGGGGTGTCGAGGTTTCTAGCTACTCACTTATCGCTAGTGTAGAATCTGGCCGCTTCATTTTACAGTCGAGAAGATCGAATAACGTTGCATTCTAAACATCATAACGTCGTTTTTATTTCGGGGACATTTTTTTACGTAATTTTAACGTTTATTTTTTACAGTGTGTGACAATGATATTATACAAAGAATGACTTTTTAGACGTCTTTGTTTTTATATGGCGCGTGTCCACAGCGCTAATATGATTTTAATTATATGTCGAATGTCGTAGTTCTATTCGTTCCTTTCTTGGATTACCGTCTAATGAATGAATAGGCAATGGGAATTAGAACATTGGCTTGAATCGACTCCAATAGAAAATTATTGTTGGGTGAAAATGAGATATATTTTATCGACTGGATACCGAAACGAAAGTCAGTTAAGACTTGTCAATTATTTCTTGTTTTATAATAAATTAAAATCGTTCCTTTCAAAAGTATGTTAGACAGTAGTCAAATGAAAAAGACAGAAATGTTAATAGTTTTTTGGGGTGGGATGTACTTTGTTAGGTGTAGTTTTTTGGGGAAGATAGCACTTATTCGCTCGCAGAAATCTCTAAGCCAAAATTTAACGTCACAATTTTTTTGAATTCATTAAAGAGAAAAAGGTCGAGTGCCAAGACCAGACTGAAAACACTGGCGTTGGCATGAGATCGATTAAATGCGAAGAGAGAACTCTTGATATCTATGCTTATCCTGGCCACCAAACCAATATACAGGCCCATAGCTAGTTCAGGGGTGGAGTGCAAATTTTTTGAAAGGGTCCTCAACTGTAGCGACTCAAGTCATTTCTGTCATCTAAATTTTAAAGGGGGGAAGGGGTGCTATCCCATGTAGCTACGGGCCCGCTAATATATCATCTATAGTATATCCTAGCCTCTACTGTAGCTATAAATTTCCTAGCCTGCCCTACCTTTAATTTCCAAAGCTTTGCTATAGCTGTAATTATCCTAGCCCCTGCTATAGCTATAAAGATCTAAGCCTAGGACAGCCATAACTATCTACCCTCTGCAAAAGCTATCATTATCTTAGCTTTTGTTACTGCAATTATCATAGCTTTTGCTGCAGCTATGATTATCCTAAGCAATGGTACAACTATAAATATCCTAGGTTCTGCTGAGACTGCCCTTGCTTTAATTATCCTAGACTCTGCTACCTCTAAAAATATCTATTTACAATGCCTAAATTTATTAAACAGCACACAAATTTTTGAAGTTTTTAATGAAATTTAGAATAACATTTAATATTTCAGGTAAAAAGAGAAAGTTATATTCATTTTCCATTTTAAAAAATAAAATTTATTTTTAATTTAACATGCCCTAGAACCATTTATTAGGAATCATTTGTCATACCCCTGACAAAATGGTCAGAAAACAAAGATATGCCCTAGAACTGCAACAGTCTGAAAACATTTGACAGAAATAATATTTTGAATCACAGAGGCATCTATAGACATTAAAGATATTTGTGCACATCTGTGTACCATTAAAACCATGCCTTTCTTGTATAGTTTCGGCCATATTTAATCAAGAATAAGGCTCAAAACATATCTGGTACACTGCTGTGGACAGTTTTAGCCCTATTTTCACCGAGACATCACTTAGACTATTCCTTCATTATGATGACTTTTCAATGGATGACATAATTTGCGTTATGAACCTTGTTTCAGTGTCTCAAAAACGAGGCACGAATAACGTCTATAATAACTAATTGAGTTTATGCTTCAAATGGTGCCTTTTGAGTGTGAACAAATATCTTTTCTAAGCTATAGATATAAAATTGAAACAAATTTAGCAGCGACATTGAACCAGTTAACTCAGGGCAAGTTTCTGGAATTCTCAATCAAAATCTGAAATGAAATGAAATGGAGTTTTACATCAATATCGGAGGCCAGATGAGGGTCATCATGTTTTAGAATAAAATATCAGAATATAACAATAGGAAGCCTAAATGAGCATCAACTCTAACAACTAACAAAATTTTATTTTTCTTTCAAATATTTTTGATATAAAAACTATCATGATGGTTAGACAGCAGTCTATGGAGTGTTTCTCATGATAATCTTTTTCATGAAACGAAATATTTGAAAGAAAAACAGATAAATAAACACTAATAATTAAATCATTTCTACAATTTGTACAAAAATTAGATCCTTTCATCATTACAATTATCATTAACATTCGTAACATCGCATCATTCAAACTTCATTCACTGCTTGTGACAACCTTTTTCTATGCCTTTAAATTTGACTGTATTAAGTAGTCTGATCTGACATGAGCTTTAGTACTAATCAGTCGAATCATATATCATATCCAAAATGTTAAACTGATTAGTATATATGGAGGCATATCTCATCAAATAATAATAAATATATGTGATTATAAATTTCAAATTATTTCGTATCCATGTAGGAGGTCATCTTTAAGGATTGAATTTTGTCGTCACAGAGCTGAATGAATGAAGATTGAAACAACCCAACAAGAAAAACTTGGCAAAAAAACCATCAAACTTGAACAAATAGGTGTAAAAATATCATACTAATAATTATACAGTATTTATGTAGCACGTAACAAACAAAAATCCTATTTAAAGGGACAAGTGTACTATTTTGGCCAGTTGATATTTGATTTGAGTGTTGAATATATGTAGAGCAGCTTCAGAATTGCAAGAAATGACGATTCGTCATTTAAACATTCAAATACGGATAATTCTGGACACACGGATATACAACTCTAATTTCGACAGTGATGCTGTGAACACTAATAGTATTACTGATTGGCATAGCTAAAAAAAAAATATCCTATTTCTTAGACTAAGGTGCAATTGGTAACAAAATGGCACACATGTCCCTTTAATTGCTAGAAGGACTAAAAAATCACTTGGAGTCAAACAGTATTTGACATTTTTTTTGATCCACCAGACATTACAATAGTAGTTGTAAAGACATAATTTAGAGCCCTGAAATTTTAAAATGTTGTGATCTCATAATGCTAATGCTAAGATAATCATCATTAATAATTATCATGTAACTGGCTTGTGTTAAATATACAATTCAAGTGATTATTGCCCAAACTACTTCAATTTAAATTGGGTTTTCGTCTTTTAATTGTGAACATACTCAATGCATAGATTTAAGATGTCCAAGCACTTAGGCATATAAACTAAAATAAATGCACGACATTAACCGAGTTTTGGCTAAAAAATATCAATTTTTTTAAATTAAAACACTAACAGTGGGCCAATGGTGGGTTACCAGAGCAATGCTTTTCTTTTTGATTTATTTTTTTAAGAAATTGTAAATTTGGTTTGTCTGCATGTGTAACGGTTATATATGTATATCAAAACAGACATGACAGCCTTGATATCCAAAAAAAATCATATCCACCATGGAATTGGCATTGAGAATAATTGTTAATTGGCACATTTTAAAACTGAGAAATAAAGTTCCAGATCATTTTGATTCACAGAATGACGTCAGAAGAAAATTTCAAAAATATAACTTTTTAACCTTAACATACAACCGATTTCCAGCATTCTAATCTGATTGGTCTTGGATATTGAAGTCAATTGTTTTAATTACCAATGAGGACATGGTATTTCCTAAACTCATCAATATTTTAACAATAATAAAAATATTTAACACCAGTTCTATCAACCAATCAGATTTCAGTCTTTATTATCTGAAGTCATGTTTATGTGAATAAGGCTTTAGTTAAAAGATTTAATAACAGAGCTTTTTGGTAAAATATCGTTCATGAAAACCATTTGAAAATTTCTGGTCAACTACAGTTTGATTAAACATATCAACAATGACTGATCAGAAATTTAAACTTTCAAAAGTAGATTTTTGTGTAGTGGGATTGCAGTTATTTTCTCAAAAATTCAAGCGACTTAGTTATCTGAAAGGACAATTAAGATCTATCTTAAATCTAGATTATTGAGTTCTTAAAATCTGTCTGTTGCCAGAAACATTGTAACTAAAACAATCTGACAGATTAATTACTATAGACGTAAATTATGACTTTGAATTATAATTACCAATCAAATTTCTATAACTTGTACAAATTCGTAAGTTAAGATCAACCTGACCACACGTCCTTGGATTCTATCTCAGTAAAGATTTTTTATATAACTGCTCCCAGAAGAATGTTAACAGAGTTCAATATTTTTGTATGTTTGTTCAAACATGACATCCCCTCAGATACAAGACTACTATGTTTCTATAGATGTAACAGTATTAGATGTCAAAGCTGTATATGGTTTAAAGAATGCTGAACCTATACTGGCTTTAAACACAAACTGATTTGGTTTCACTGGACAAAAAAATGACGGTTCTTTTTCTGGAGTTTGTCTATAAAAAAAAGTTTAAAAAAATTAATATCATTGTCTGACAAATTGTGGATCCAGCAGTAAATGGATATATGAATAATTCAAGATTGATCTTTGTCAGGAGATATGGCAGATCTAGCTGGCAGAGATCTGGCGACCTTTAATAACTTATCTTTCCCTTTTTCAAGTCAATCCTGCTGTAAATGGGAAGGCCTACTGAATAACTAATTTTTGCCATGGACATAGCTGTAAATGGGTACAAAATAACTAATTTTTTCTTATTATTTGATTGGATTGTACTCTAGTGAATACAGCCAATCTCGGCCCCAGTCAGAAAGACTTCAAAAAAATAAAGCGCATGAAATCGAGAGCTCTGAATACAAGAATCAAATTGATGACTGTGAAACAAGAAAGTGGACCATTGCAGTCAAGATGAAGACATAATACCTTGACCGTTTGTGAAGATTATTGGAATGAAACTAAAAAAAAATCAGCTATGTAACCTACACAAAATCATTGATACAAATAATATCAATAAAAAAAAAAGTTACCGAAATTCTTCAATGGCCTTGACCTTCTCACATCCATCGGGTGGCTCACGTACGAAATTATATGAATCTTTAAGTTTTGGACTGGCAAGGAATTTTTCTAAACGTGGGCTGCTTGGATAACTTGGTTCAGGAGATTCTTCAAATATTTCTAAAAAATAAATCAGATGATTCAAAGCAAATATTCTCAGTGGAAAAGTGTAATTTCTATCATGTCCACAGTAAATTATGACTGTGAGTGAAATGTGGTTTTTCCTACCAGTTTTCTGCACCATGGAGCTAATGAAGACTATGACAACTGTAACTCTCGGTTAGAAAGTGTAACATGGCTGAATGAGAGGTTACAAATATTAATGTTACCTTTTTCAGATTTACACTCCGAGGAAAGTGAACGACTAGAGGGTTGAGAAAGATCTATAGGACCAAGGAAATTACTATTTATAGCTGGACTAATCGAGTCACATCTACTAGAGTTACTTCCCCTGATACCATCTTCATTTTTACTGGACGGAGTCTGAGTATCAACGTTACGCATCAAACAGGTTATTCTTTGGACCTCTGGTACCGGTGCCCTGTGGCCATCTGGGACTTCCTAAAATAACAGGTATTGAATAGAAAATAGCATGTCACAAAATTCCAAATAACTTTCATTAAATGAGGAAGACAATAAAATCTGAATTTTCCAAGTACCCAAAGCAAAGACGTTGATCTGTCATGGGATACACAAATGCTTGCTTTTGTATCAGCGTTTATTTTACCATTCTTACTCATACATGTGGGTTTAGTTGATCTCTCCATGGATTAAGAAAAATATAATCATAAGCTAACCCTGAAAGTTTCAATTTCATCACTATCACACTGATAATGAACTTCTTTGGACCATAATTTTTCTATTTCCTGGAAAGTCAAACATTAAAAAGCTGGATAACAAAATATGCTTTTACTAATATATCCTTTGCCATGTTTCACAAAACAAATCACGTTCAATTGAAGCACATTTCAGAAATAAAATGAAGTTTACCAGATATGACTGGTAAATATCAACATTCTAGAACTCTAGTCATGACTGGTAAATATAGCCAAATCAACAGTCTAGAACTTTTCAAGCATGACTGGCAAATACAGCAAAATCAGCAGTCAGGAACATCCCTTATAAGAAACAAAAATTTACTCACAACACTGAGACCTTCAACACTGTTCCTCTGATAACGAGACATGGGTTGTTTCGGAATGTAGGACATCGTTGGAATTATAATAGCTTTTGATTGGTTGGCAAACACGGTGGGTGGAGCTGTGAGTGACAGGGCTGAATGGTTGCCCTGGACTGGACTCTGACGGAATTTGGTGGAATCTGAATGCTTGTCTTTTTTACGGAGTTGTTGAATTTGCTGCTTAATATATTGCTACAAAAAGTTTCATAATTTAGAAGGTTAACTTAGAACGACTTCAGCATTTTATTCATCATATAATTACTAACGCTAATTCTTCATTTAGTTCCATCAACCAATAAGATCAAACTCAAACAAAATTGTGGTGTACAAGGATAAATTTTGTCGGGACATTGGCATTGTAGTTCAATGTCTTTCACATTCCAAGTCGTGTCATGAAAATTCACTTTTACCATTTGAGACTATCTGGCTTGTATATTTTTTATGTCATCTGATGTTGATAACTAAAATAGATTTCAAATTTGGCTTAATTAGCCAGATTGAAAATCTTGCTTGAAATTTTGATTGTATCTTAGTCTGCAGGCACACACTTGGTGGCACACAGGGACAAAAAATCTACAGTCAGCTGTTTTCCACTATGTCGATAATCATGTGCGGATAATGCAATTGAAAGGAAAATTAATCTGATTGGATGATAATCCTCTTGCAGATGATACATATTAAACTGGTTTGATATTATAATCCTGTCAGCAACATAAGATTTTACTCAAGATTAAAGACAGCAACAAAAATCAGCGACCAAGACTGTTCGTGTGCCCACACCATAAGTCAAAATTTTGTGGGACAAGTCCCAGACCTCTTCAGAATAATTATTTATCCAATTCAGATACTGAAGTGGGTTTTTCCGCCAAGAAATAAACATCAACAAATAACAGTTGACTTACATCCTTTTTCTGCTGATCTCCCTTACCCAGGGATGAAGAACGCTTATGACCTTGACCTTTAGGTTTGAGGTGATCTGACGGAGCATCCAGTTCTTCGGTAGTCTGAAAGAAAAAGCATGTCTAAATATCAAAAGGATAACATTTATGGTTCTCATAGATTCGTTTTTAACATATCTTTAGAAATCCTCCTAAGGACAACTAATTTTGGCCAAATTTTCAATATGAGGCTGAGGAATAAACACTGGTCAGACAATAGCAAGGCCCATATCAAGGTTAACAATTACAGTATTACATTCTTTTAATCTATGATTAAGCCCCATTTACACCTAGCTTTAATAACACTTAAAAACATTCTTGAAGGTGTAGAGCCTATAACACTTTTACATTTTTTACAGTTATTTTAACACCCAACTGTTAATAATCCAAGAATGCGAAGTGAGAGATAGTTTCAAAATAAAAGAAATAATCTTTTTTCACATTGATAACTAATCTACAGGTTTTTGTTTAGGTTATCTACTAAAAGGAGTACCAGTAATCCTTATTTGAATAGCATTTCTTTTAATATTTCAAAAATAAGCTATTATGTGTCCAAATATAGAGCTGGTTAATCCAAATTAGCCTTAATTTCTTGAAAAAATCATTGTTGCCAATTTACAACCAGAGAGATTGCTTTTCAGTAGGTACCGATACCTATTATTACATTTCTGAGTGTCAGTAAGCTTCTATTAAACTCAGCAAGCTTCTAAGAAGGACTACTTCTAATACTTAGACAACACAAATTTATCATTTTCTTCCACCATGATAGAATCTTTCTCATATCGTATGTAATAGAATACAAACCTGAGTGGACTTGTCTAACATAAATACTCCACTGGTCTGGTAATGATGGTACATATTTACATTCGATTCCTTTGGCCATTGTCCCGTTAAATATGGCCCTAATGTATCCAGAGAGTTGGTTCTTTTTAAAGGCTGGATTGGGCTCTGTCGAATCTTTGATTTATCTGCAATGCACAATATAGTGAGTAAATTAAATGATACGCCTAAAGGCTCTCACTAACTGATTTTATAGATAAGCAGTGACCAGCAATGCTGGTTTGACTGCACACATTTTATTTTTGGCTAAATTGACATCTGTAATTTATATTATTTATAGTGTGACAAAAAATACCACACTGGTCATAGCCTCCAAATAGCAATGTTACTGCAGCATCAAAGCATACCAGTACCCTTCAAAAAGATTTAGATTATCCTATTCAATCAGATGACTAAAAACACAAGTCTGACTTTGGCTACTCAATTGCACAATTCTTAATATTATCAAATCACATTCTCATCATATCTCAAGAGAACCCATGCCCATTCTGTGTATACCCGGGCTACCCTCGGATTGGCAAATTACCTTTGTAACTTGGAGAGCAAGGGCTCCTTCTTTCCGGTGATGCTCTCACATCAGGAGATTTCCTCGACCAGGGCTTCTGTGTACCAACATTAGCTGTAGGAGAACCACACATCAAGCCTCTAATCGGACTGCCATGTTTCATAGAGAAGGCTTTCACAGCTTTAATGGGTCCAGTTTTTGTGTGAGAAGGGGACGCATTTCGCCGAACTCGTTGTGACGGCTGTCCTGACATTTCATTTGTTTCTCTCCCTCTTATAACAGAAAAATTCTTCCCTTTTGTTGTCTGTGGTTTCAGTCGAAAATTATCTGAAAGAAAATGAAAAGGAATTTGCTGGCAGTCTGAAATTTGACGATAAAAGTTGTAAAATTGGACACAATGAAGACGAAAACTCACAACTTGCAGCTTCTGATAGTAAAAAATGTCTGTCATGTGACGTTTATCCTGGTAGATGATTGGTCAAAATTTCGAGATTTCTGACACCAGAGAAATTTTGTTTTCTTTTGTCCACTTCAGCAATAATTCACAAAATTTCTCCTTCTTTGTAAAACCGTGTCGAATCTATCGTAGAACCTTAGAATTCTTGTAAAATAGTGATTTTCCTATCAAATATTGACAAAATTTGGTAAAAATATTAATATAAACCCATGATTCTTTGCCAATTTATTGTGAGTTATTCCCCCTAATCCTTGACAACTCAAGTGTCAAATATTCACACTGTTTTCTGCAGAAAATCCAAGTCAATTTCCCAAAGAAATTAAAAATGTCATTATATCACAAGTTCAATTCTCATACCTTAAATGTCATTCTTCTGAAGTACGTAATTAATTCCAGAAAGATGTCATTTCATTCCTGATTTTGTGACTCATAAAATCGCTTCGTAGCAATGTCTTGTTTTACTAGTCAGAAATTTCGGAAAACAATATTTCAATCAAATTCGATCAAATTTCGTGCCACTTGTGAAGAAATGAAGGCAACGTTTCTGATTTAGATTTTGATATGTCAATTATAGAGATGTCATCTGCGGTATTTGTGAATTTATTGAAATTAAAAGGGAAACTTTATCGATAGGTTAATTGCATAGCAACCTTAAGGGAGACTTCATTTCGTGACAAAATATTTTCTGAATTTTTAGTCAAATTCTGCAAAAAGACAATGATTTTGGTTTGCTTATTCTATTTTGTGATGTCAGTCATATATTTCTTTCAAAATTTCAAATACAAGTATGAAAACTTTTTGACTCGATACCCAAAGTTTTCGAAATGAAATATATTGCAAGTAGACCCCATTTGGAAACGTGCCAATTAGGCCAACGGGAAATAACTCTTGTTTTTAATCATAATTTTAGACTACAATTAAAAATTCAATATAAAATGCAATATTCCTTTGATAAGCTTGTAAACGATAAATCAGTTCAGGAAAATTTCACGTAAAAATGAATTACCCTAATAGGAGTTTTACATCCATTGCAGTATGCAAGAAAGAAATTTTGCCATGGCAGACTTATTTCAATTCGTCAAATTATCTTGCACAGTCTGTAGCACAAATTCAGAGAAAAGATTCAGCATATCTACATTTTCTGAGCTAATAGGGGACTGGTGATAATCTTCACAGTTTGCACCAGGTTGGATCTACCTTGGCAATAAACATAATGAATCTATGTGTGCTTTGCAGCGAGCCCCTTTCATATCCTACATAATGTACTTGTGCACTTAGTTCAAGTAAACTATTTCTCAACCATCATTTCAACCCAATTCATGAATATAAAACACATATAGGTATTTTTCTTTATTTTTTTTCAATTTACAATAATTTAGAATTTCAGTTTCCTGAAAAACCATCTGTTTCTTCCATTCTTATATCTGAAAAAAAAACCAAAAACCAAGTCAATATTTTCATATTTTGCTGTGCTGAAGAAAGGTAATGTCACATACATCAAGGGACAAGAGGATGTGCCACGGCCCACGATACAGCCTACAAATACCGATATATTGCTACCATGCTTTAAAAAAAAAAGTCACATTGTGAGCCACTTAACAAGGTAGCAAACAGTCAAAAAGTGTAAATAAATGGGTTGAAAAACTATGAAACTACTAACCGGTCTTGTAATTTAGCTTTAACTTCTTTCCTAGCCTTGGCTTTTAATGCAGGATCTTTAGCTGCGTCTCTGTTAACTACATTTTTATCTAAACCAACATCAAGTGAATATCTAGGAGAAAATATAAATAATATCTATTAAACTAGACCAAGCAGATCATTTCATGTAGTCATGTTTGTTCAGCAGCAGTGTACGAAGTTTATCACCTCTGAGGTTGGGTAAAATGATCAAAATAATTGATATGGCATGGAATTCATAATTTTCTTTGTTGATTATCAAATTTTATAATCTTATTATATGTCAAAGTAACATTTTCTCCATTGTACCCGTTAACATGTAGTAATCTCTCATATAGGTTCCTTTCAGAACATACATACCCAAAATAAGGCGGTGGACAAAATTATTTAAGTTCATATGGATAGGGTAGGTAGGTAGGAAAAAAATTTAATTTAATTATAAATATTTTATATGGGTAAGACTATCATTATATAATATACACAGAATACATCCTATCTGGATGAAATAAATCATTTATATTTCAAAGTTTGTACTGTATTTTGGCTGTTCAATTTTACATTTGAAGAGTATGATTCTATGTTTAAAAATTGGCATGAAACTTAAAAATTGGCATGAAACCTATCACCAGCTTTTCAAATAGATCGTCTGTTAGGACAGTCCATGTTGTTTGGTTTACCACACCCTGACGTCTCTACAGCAAGCAAAAAACAATCCCGATTATAAATCAAGTGGGGAGTGTCATTTTCGGTAGCACATATCATGCTCCATCATGACAGACAACAGTTAAGTCATGTTTCGTTGTGATTTATTGATTTACTGGTTATGTAAATCGTGGTTATATGGAATTCATTCATTTTAGTTTTCATTTCATTACAGACAAAATTTATTTTAGTACAAAATTTCATTTATTCGTCAATTTGCATTATACGTAAATGTTCGAATATAGAGTAGTCATGATCGTATAGGACTCTTAATGGAAGCATTTATGTAGCTGGTAGTAGCTGGTGCAGGTCTTGATTAAGACATATATCATTTATAAATCTCAGCCAAATGATCAGGCGTAGTCTTGTTCATCTTAGGCATAAAAGGGCGCACGAGTGTGTATGTTTTGTTGTGTCTCGATTGATGGTGAAGTACCAGTTATTTATAGCACAATCTCGTGAACTGATTAGTGAACGTATTCAGTTGACTCACGCATTTGTGCAAATTAGATGATGTTTTGGCAGTCAGTGTTAATATACTGTAGATCTATTCAAATATTGAAAAAAAAAATCATCAAAAACTCCATAATTTTTTTTTTAGTCACTAGGTTTGGAACAGGGTCGGTTGGGAAACCGGAACCGTAATTAATTTTTTCCACTGCTTAAACTATATCAATAAAAGCAAGATCATGTTGCAAAATTACACATGAAATTAAGAGTTTTTGGCTTGTTTTTAATTTAGTATTTACAAGATTTCTTGATTCTTGATTTGTAGTCTGCCATTGATATTTGATCTCAATTTTGTTATCGATACCAAGCTCTTATCACCTCTAATTATTGCCTCCGAACATTCTCATTAATGACAAATCACCTCCCTTTACAGATCATAAGTCACTATATAATTTATCCACTCAACAATCCTCAACCAATAAAAATTAATGACAAGAATTTTGCAAGCAACTACTAGATGCGATAATATGTAATTAGATGTGAAGAATGTTGTACACTGTGTTGCTTAAGGAGTTGGAATAAGTTGACATTACATTACAGCAGGTTCTTCTTGGAACAACCAAAATCCATGTATTCGAGCTGCAATCATCAACATTTGACAAAATATTCGTATTTTTCAGATCAGCAGTAAATTTTTTTTGGAAAATAAATCATTCATCCCTCAGAAATTTTTTGGCTCCAACCATCTCTAATTTTTTTTTTTTGGAGAAAGTTATTATTGACAATATTTTTTTTTTTTTTCCTGCCGATAAGGTTTCAGTTCAGTTTTAAAAAAAATGTCCTAGTAAAAATGACAATTAAGAGTCTACTAACCTGGTAGGCATCAGATGGTTGTAGTTATACACTTTAACAAAGGTCTTGATCCTGGATCTCAGAGATAACTTTCTTTTGGTCATTTTCTTGGTTAGTTTCTGGGGATATTTAGCAATTCCTGCAACTAAGGCATGCCCGTATGGCTTATCTGTTGCACCTTCATCAAAATTCTGAAATTCATTTTCATTAAGTTTTATAAGAAATTAAAAATAGTTTGAAGTAAAATATTTTCTTTCAGGTTGGGATAATGAAGACCGGCGATTCTTGGTAGATTTATCGAAAGGCATTAATTCTGTCTGTTTCATAATTCTGACAATTTTACTAAATGCAAAGGGATCTCAACATGTAAATCCTGAAGCCAATGCCTCAGACAGTTCTTCCTAAACAAATGGATACATGCAAGTTCTTAGGACCTGTATCACTGACAAGAGGCAACAGTATTGAAAGATTCACTAAAGCTACCAGTCGACTGTTAAAAATCAAGAAATTGCCATTTCAGAGATAAAAATGATTATATGGGCTCTTACTTTGACGATTATTCCCTTGTGTCCAGCATAACGTCCATTTAACACCAGGACCACTTTATTGGACTTGATAAATTTTCCCATTGTCACTGAAATAATAAACAAATTAAAATAAACACTTTGATAATAGGTGTTTGCTCATATAGAAGCACTGGCCTAGGTCACAAGCAGAGAACAGACCCTTGTTGACGTTGTACGGTACGGAACCAATATTAATAAAATATGGGCAATGTGGAGAAAATAGTGTAGGGTCTTGTTAAATCAAAAGACATGCATAGTTCCTTTTGTTAGCAAGTGTTTGGCAATTTGTTTGTTGTAACCTAGCTAAATACATTGGTTTGCCAATAGACATATTTTGATGCCATCAAAAAATACTCAGAAACAGCAAAATCGAAAATGCAGAACAATTTGTCTTTAGTTCGGACAGTCGATCTGAGAGACAGATAGTGAGATTTCAGCAATAGATCTCATGCAAAATGCTACTATAATAGGAAGAGAAACCAGTATTTCACTATTGTAGGTATCAAATTGATTAACGATCATGCTCATGATGCTAAGAGAGTTTCAACTTTCATCAGCAAGGAAAGTGATGGATTGTTTACTTCGATTGAACATCTTAAAAATTGTAATCAGAAAGACAATGGGTAGACATTTTATGATCAGATGAATAAACAGATAGAAGAGGTTCTAATGGGTGAAAACGGATTAAGATTTAGGTGTCTGTTAATCTGGATGAAAAGAGATTAAGGAATAGTATATTTGTCACCTCTTAGTCAATGGAAGTTGCGTGAAAAAGACCGAGACCGGAAGTTCGCGTTATCTCGTCAGGTGCACGAGATCAGACGAGAAACAGTTCAATCTTACTCAGAGTGAAAAATGGCCGCGGTGTGGGAGGCTGTGACTACGACTTTCTGGAGCGAATGGTTCTGGCTTCCTCGTCACGTTTCGTGGGAGATTCTTAAAAATGAGGAAGATGGCATTTATCGACCCCAAACAGGGGACATCATTATTATGGCCCCCTTGACAGTGCTGCTAATTGTACTACGACAACTTTTCGAGAGGTGAGATATAAAATAATAATTCTGAATGAGTCTCTAACCAAATGTATGGTAGTTCGCCTACTACTGAAAAAAAAAGAGCTCACCCTTTAAAGATTATTTGTTATAACCCTTAACAATTATAAGATCGAAAATGTTTCATTATTTAAACTCTTAAATCATAATATACAATGGTTTGATCAGACTACTCTACCTTCTGAATACATTGAGCATTGAATTAAATTTTTCCTCTTATTTCATAAATATGCAAAATAAAATTTTCAAATGTATACCATTTGTCTTAGAATGTCTTCGGGTCCATAGAAATATAAGGTTCAATATTTTACTTTCAAAATAGACACACTTCCCTCCCACTTCACATGAAAACGGCCTAATTTGCGGACCGAAAATTCCCCTCTGTAAAATCATTTTAACAAGCAATATTTTCTTCAGTGGTAAACATTTTCATCAACTCAAAGGCAATCTAAGACTCTCAGTAGTATTTTGTAGTTGATATTTCAATACATATAGAAATGATTGCCAAAATTCAATTCAGAAAACAATGTTTCTTCAAATATTCTCTGAAATTCTCTGAATTGGTTTGTTTCGATATCCTTTTTGAATCCAACACCTTGACCCATATTTCATGAAAAAAATGGTGACCAACAAATGTGAAAGATAAAACTTAATTTATTGCTAACATGCATTGAAACAACATAAGAATATGACCAACATTGTGTTCCATAGAGTTTTTCTGCTAACATGGAATCCACTGGTTAGTCATTTGACTTTGTTCACTGGGATATATTAGGTTTGCATGAATTAAAGTTACTTGACTGTAACATTGTTGCAAGCAAGTTTGCTCAGTTCACAAAGTAAGCTTTTATCATGAGTCTGAAAATTGTTTAAATCCTTTCTAATTATGACATCCGTTTCCATTGCTGGTGATAACATAGTTGAGGGTGTTGCACATATGGGTTATAAATTTTACATTTGAAATAAACAAATTTCCTTCTTCCTAATATTTTCTGTGAAAATGATCCGTATTTCAGATTTAAAAAAAAAAAATTTTTTTCAGTGGTTGTCATTTTCAACAACCTAAAGTCAATCTAAGACGCTAAGTGGTATATTGGTCAGATAGTAATTTACAAACATCTTATAATGCTCGGTAGCCCATCACATAATCTCATTTATTCTCAATGTAGTTGTTTTCTTCAATTTTTAATGTCACTGAATTCTTCTAGGCCGCTGTTTTACCAGTATAACTGGTTTAAAGAGACAAGTGCGCCATTTTCGGGGATAGTTTGTGTCTTGAAAATATGTTAAATAGTCTTACTAGAAATGTACGAAAATCATATAATTTGTTCAAAAATATCCCAAACTTTGAGTTTTACTCACTATTTCTATATATATGTCTTTTCTATAATAATAGAGTATCTTAAAATGACTTGTCTTTCTATATCCTAGATACATCGCAAAACCAATGGGACGCCATTTTGGATTACGGGAAGAGGACAGTCAAAAAGCTCCCCCTAATGAAAAATTGGAATCATTTTATGCAAAAAACAAAAAACCAAATGATCAGAATTATTTGGTAAGTATTTTAATTTGTTGATAGTTAAATGGATACTTCTTCTACAGCTTTATGGAACAACAATCACCTGAGGACGACAGACACGTCGAAATGTTGCATAAAACTTTAACCAGTGATGGTTGTGTCATAAAACTGTGTCTATATATTGCAATTTATTGATTGATGTTTTGGTGTTGAGGCTTAAAATGACTGAATAATTTGAGATGAAGTCATGGAAGACACATTTCTCTACAATTAGGCATTTATTTTGTCCCAAAGCCGGGGAAACAAAAAAAAATTTGAAGCCTAAATTCATTTTGAACCATGATAGTGTGGAGTATGATTATTTTGAGATACTGTAGTGACTTCATCAGACTGAAACCCGCAGTTGTGTTATCTCATCATTATCAGAATAAAGTTATATTTAACCCTATAAAGATGGGTTCCCGCATTGTCATTTATGAAAATCAAAATGCTAACTTATATGAATAGAAAGTAGAGGTGTTCTAATGACATGAAAAAGTACCAGTTTGTCTCACATGTCCATAATTCATTCATGATAAGCTAAATTAGAAGAGAATTACCAGCAGAATTTCAATGAGTGACCGATCAAAAAAGGTCAAAAATTATTTTTTTGATTATCTAGACTGTACATACAAGGACATTTATGATTGGTTAAAACTCTTAATTATATGCAATATAAGAAAATAATGATATGATACAGAATACATGCTTATTCATTCGAAACACCAATTAATCAAATAGTTTGCTTAAATTGACACTAAAAAATAAGGAAACCCATCTTTAAACACTGATTGTAAACAAATTAATAGCAAATTTTTTTTCTGCTTATGTATCTCTATTGTAATCTGGGTAATTGTTTGGTCAATTAACTGATTAAATGATCTAACTTACTTAGCAAATAACATAAGCTGCCAGTCACGTGTAGCATGATTGTGAAAGCTTTAATGAAATAGATTTCCACCAGATAGAAAATTTAGTCGATACTTATTGAATGAAAAAGTGGGTTAGGCTAGGTCCTAGGTACTAAAGATTTTTCTACTGCAGCCCCCTCTTTATTTTGGGCGAGAATTTTTTCTCTCTGTATTTAACGGTAATTTGTCAAGTGATAGATGTATTGCGACTTTAAAGATAGTCCTTAAATTAAGAGACTTCGAGAGATAATTTTTACACTTACATATGTATTTAATGCTATATTGTGGTTGTCCAATGATACATTTTATTATCAGTTTGAATACTTATCTTACAGATGTTTTGTTTTCATTGACTTTCTTTACAAACGCCTGAACGACCAGCCTCTAATATTTAAAATACAAGAATCATATGATTATGTGGCAATATTGACATTACCGTGTCATGTAGTAGACTGTAACATCTGTCTGTATTCCAAACTAAGTTACCCTATATGAATGATGACAGATGACTGTATTTTGAATATTAAAATCTTTGATGATTTCAGACTTTAACAAAACAGACAGATTTAAGCAGACGACAAATAGAACGTTGGTTTCGTCAACGTCGTAATCAAGACCGAACCAAAACTCTCATCAAGTTTTCAGAAAGCAGGTATGTAAAAAGCAAATTAAACAAAAGAGCTCATATGATTTTTAAAGTTTAAGATACTCCTGCAGATACGATTAAAAAATTATTACAATTTGGTGTTAATTTTGGTAACATTCGTACACTAGTTTTTCAACACCTACCAGTACCCAAAAAAATCAATTATAATTGATTAATAATTAAATATTTTATTATGATAAGTGGTATCAGGTGTTATTTTTGATTAATTTTGAAATTAACGACTTTAGGTTGAATTTTCAGTCCAGGGACATATTTTCTCAAAATTTTGGTGTATAGTTTTCATAGATTTGAGCAAAAAAATTTCCAACTTACTTAAAAGTCAGACTTCCTCTTTAATTTCTCTAGATGCTATACCAAATGATATTTGTTGAGCTAACATTTTACTTATTTCAAGGGCTGTTGAACACTTGTGTGATTTATCATGCTTTGCTGAGTATAATTATTTAGAGAAATAAATCTATGATTATATTCTAGAAGCTAAATGCATTTAATTGATATTTTTCAGCTGGAGATGTGTTTTCTATTTTGTTATATTTTGGTATGGGGTGTATGTTTTATATGATGTGAGTTTGTTTTATTATTAGCCCACATTCAAATTGTTATTAAGTCGCCCATGTCTGTGGGTCTTTTTGTCCACATTGTTCATCCAGTTATGATCAAACTTCCATGCAGAATGGTAATGTTTGAAACACGTTTGATCTTTCAGATTTGTAATTACCTTGAATAGCTCTTGGTTTGTTGAGCTTGGTTTCCCCTTTTCAGTGATGTAGGCTGTCATGAAATAGTGTCTACTCTTTCAGATGGAAGAATAAACTGAGGTCTTGTGTGCTACAGGGTGTGCTCCTTAAAGATGCCTTTGACAGTTAAAATTCAAAAAAGAGTAGGCTTATGTCCTTTTCCCAGCAAAATGTCCTTGTGCACACTGCATAGCAAAAATGTTTAAATACTTTGAATTTAAGGGGTAATCCTAAATGCCAATCCCTAATTTTTCTTAGTATTTTTACTTGAGAGGTGATAGTCGTACATTGTCAACAAGAATGTTGAATGTGCAAAAGTAATCCATGTAAGTCTGAAACTGTCCTACTTTAGTTAAAACTACTTTTAGCCACAAATTAGCCCTAACATTTTTTGATAAAATTCCATTTCATTTCAATAATCCAAACAGATATGTTTATGTATTTAATTGTTTGTTTTATTTTAGGAAGAATTTGTGTGGGATCGTGCAGAATTATTTAGAGGCTGGCCTCATCATGTAAGTTCAAAAGTACAATATATTTAAGCAGATCCCCACTACATCATTCTTGCCAATAAAAACTGTATTGACGCCAACCAAAGTTCTCTGTGGTCATGTTTTTTAATCTCAATGTGTGTGAAAGTCTGTTGTCCTTTAATAGGTCATCTCATTATTTTAGTCCACCTGGATAATGCAACCGACTACCAGCTGGATCTCCATGAATCGTGGATGCTATTCTTTTGTTGTGAGCTTTCAGTATCCTTTCTGGTTAATCTCATAAGATATTTGTCTAATAGGAGATAAGATTATGTCTGTTATTTTGAATCTATCCACAAAAGTCACAATAAACATATAACAGCTGGCAGCTTTTTATTAAAAGCTTTTTCATACTTTTTATCATAATGAACAGGGACATCTTAAAAAAAAAAATAAAATAAGATGTTGTGGTTAGCAGGGACAAAATTCTAATTATTTTTTTTTCTAGCACGTTAGTGATGAATTATTTTGGTATTATGCTGTTGAATCAGCTTTTTATCTCTCCTTAGTATTTACTTTATTTACTGACGTCAAACGCAAGGTAAGTGACCTTTACATTTATAATTAGTCTAAAACATCTGCCTAAAGCTATTCTAACCTCTGGATATTTTGTCAGAAAAATTGTCCATGTTTAATGGGGAACATAATATTGAATTGCCTTTGCAATGAATTTAAAGCAAAGGACAGACTGGGCGAATTTTATTTACCGGTACTTGGGCGAAATATCTGCTGCCAAATTCATTCGGCGAGTACTTGCGTTGATAACTCGCTCGCAACTCATGCGAATGGCACTTAGTCACAGGATGAAAATATGTATGGTATGTTTCATTTTTAAAAAAAGCTGATGGAACTGGAGATGTGACATAAATGGTGTATGAAGAAAAAGATGGTGTGACTGAACTACAAAATATTTATCTTTCCAAATATATCTGGGTTTTGCAGATTTAAATAGGTTTAAAACCCTTGAACCTGCGATGATGCAGAATGTCCCCATATAATTTTACCTATTTTTTTCTATCTCTACACCATCCACCATCTATCCAAATACCTATCAGAGACTGGAATAGAGACATGTTTCGGTCTGCTTTACTAGCCAAAGATAATTCTAAAGAAGTTAACCTATCTATGCTAAGGGAGACACACCAGTCAAAATAATCAACCGACTTGGCACCAACCCGTACCTAACACAGTCTATAGCCAAAAGGCCCTCCATTTTACAATGACAAATCTAAATCAAACCCCCACTTTGAAATTTGGAGATCTTTATATGTTATTGTAGTAATGAGGACACTGAAAATAGTCAAACCTGTATACCTTTTTTATACGCCCACACGTAAGATGGGCGTATATTGTAATCACCCTGTTGGTCGGTCCGTCCGTCCGTTCACATTTGGCTCGTGCTCACTCTACAGACTACAGTTCTTTATGGATTCTTTTGATTTTTATTTTGTATGTCAATGTTGTTATGAAGATGATCCCTATTGATTTTCGTGATGATCGGATAATTTTTCACCGAAATATCGTGTCTGACTTGAGGTTTTTCTCTATTAGCTATATTGTGCAACTCGTGCTCACTCTACAGGCTACAATTTTTTACAGATTCTTTTGATTTTTATTTTGTGTGTCAATGTCATTATGAAGATGATCCCTATCGATTTTCGCGATGATCAGATAATATTTCACCGAAATATCGTGTCTGACTTGACGTTTCACTCTATTAGCTATATTGTGCAACCCTGTAGTCACTAAAGACTGTTTAATCATTTCTGACAGCTGCCAGTGGGCGTATGTTACCTTGCCTGGCAAGCTATCTTAAAATTAAATGGTAGTGAATTTTCTTTTCTTTTTTTTGCCAAATTATGCTTCATCCTTAATAAATTCTCTCTATTTGGCAGGATTTTAATGAGATGATTATACATCATATTTGTACGTTATGTTTATTGTTTACGTCATATAGTTCTAATCTGATACGTATTGGCAGTTTAGTTCTTGCTGTTCATGATGTGGTAGATTCTTCACTGGAGGTAAGTAACTTCTCTATTCTAATTGATCCTGTTCAGTGAGTTCATCTATTTTGCTCATATTAGTCTAAGTGAGGAGATACGTGGAATATGCCTTGTTATCACTCACTATTTTGCTGTCAACAAGGGGTGCGTATTATATACGGGTAAAAGGATTTTTCCAGTTTTTGATGGGGTAAGGAAGGGGTGCACATTATACACACTTGTGCATTATATTCTGAATTATACGGTATTGAGGCATCATGTACTATAGCACAGGCTTTTCTTGATCTTCTGTCAGTTAGACCGAAGTGGAGTGGAAAAGTTGGATGTAATTAGTCTATATTGGAAAAGTGAGGTCTAGTATGAGAATTCTATTTCTGTAGGTAGCATTTGGTTTAGCTGCAGTCCATTGCTTCTCAACCTCAGTGAGATCATGCCTTTCTGAAACAGTTCTTCCAAAATAGATCAGTCATTTTGAAACTTATTTTACGATTTTCTGTATGTCCGAGGTGAATGATGTCAATTATTGCAGTTGTAGATCACCTTGTTTCCCATCTTACCCCAGTCTGACGATTACTCCCCATTTTCCCCCTAGGCAACAATTCCTTCCCATGGTCTTTCAATTCCTCCATGGGGAGAAGCACTGCTCTAGTCAATTAAGGCCTTGGGATTTTTCAACCCAGGCTTCCCTCTATCAGACATGCAGATCAGAGAGGATGAGTGTGTTTAATTTTAGATTTCAAGAACAAGTTCTTCTAAATAGTTG